AAGTGTATCAGACTAAAAATACAAAAATTCAAAAGTTAAGTTTTTGTATTATTTGCAAACTTAATACTTGTGTATTTCACATTTCTTCTTATCATCAATATGCATGAACATTCTAAACTTCCTTTTTGAGATTTTCGTTATTTATAAAAATTATATGAATAAATTTATAAGAGAATATTATTTGATATTACGAAAAGCATTTCTCAAAAGTATTTTCCAAATATTCTTGAACATTAGGCTAAAAATTGTTTACATATATTTTGTGTTTAAAATTTGCCAAAAAAATTCATTAAAAAAAATTTTTTTATAATGATAAGTTCCACAAATCGTTTAGCGATTTGTCCCTTGCATGCTTATCTAAAATAGAAGAATATATGCCAAATGGATTGACCATCATTAGCATCATTAGCATCATTAGCATCAATATAATATCAACAGGTGTAGTAACACATTTTAATAAACGCGTGTTTCGACACTCGCAATTTATTTTTGTTTATATCTGTCAGTGATTATACCTTTTTTTATATTTTTTTTCTGTGTAAATGTGGTTTTACAACTTTGATTATATTAAATTTTCAAGGTTGATTTACTTTCCTTAGTATTCATTGATTTTTTATTTCCTTTTACAGCCTGTGCTTTATTCCTATTGGCGAAGTTCCTGCTCCTGGAGGGTAAGAATTGGTAAGTGAGAATTTATATGGTTTCATATATTACACACATATAAAAACTTGTTCCAAAACTTGTCAATTGTGTCAACTCTGAGTATCTATTATCTTTGTTCAATATTCAGTAAACAATAAAGATAAAATGATACTTTGGTTGACAGAATTGAGTTTTGGAAATTATATAAAAATCAGAAAATGATAATAAATAATAAAAAATAAATAATAGAAATAAAAAATAATCAGGGAAAGTCGTGAAAATTGAGAATAGTCAGGTTCAATAATTATATAATAGTTACATAATTTATTATTGAAGATGCAAAGCGTATCATCGACAACTTTTTAGATGACCTACTTAAGTCTTGATGACCTTCATCCGAGTATATCAATAGAAATAGATGCAACGATTTTAATATATTACCTACTATCTGGCTTCAGATTCAAATCTATAATAGACGTAACATATATTATAGTAAGATTCCAACTAGCACAGCACGCCTGCAAAGTTCTAAAAAGATGCTTATATACACTTTTTTTTAGCGCTTTTTTTACGCTTTGTAGGCACTATGTGCTGCTTAGTATTTTAAGAATATCTACATGAACCAATCACAGAGTCGAATTAACATCTTAAGACTGTCTTAAAATAAGAACTGACAATGAATACTGAATAAGAACTACAATGACCACAGAGTTGTATTAACATATTAAGATATTATTTAAGACTTGAAATAAATCTTGAATAAGAACCAATTATGAATCGGTTATAATGTCATTTCATAGATAGAATTAGTTTTATTGTTACTGTGGAGAGTTTATTTTTTACATATTTAGTAAAGTTTATTTCTAATATTTATAGATTTAAATGTTTCTGATGTTCATTAATAGCATTGAACTTAAAGGAGATACCATATGATATAAAGCCTGTTAATTTGGTGAAGAATAGTGGAGAACAACATTCCAATGAATTCCGCGACATTAATCCAATGGAGAAAGTCCCTGCGCTACATATTGACAATCACACTTTGATAGAATCTGTGAGTAAATTCGGTCATGAATATTCTTGTAGTTGTAGCTGATCTTTTTTTTAGAATAATAACTTTTTAATATAGTTGAGTATCCTACAATATTTGGAAGAAACTAGGCCAAATCGTCCATTGATGCCAGCGGATCCTGTCAAAAGAGCTAGAGTGAGAGAGATTTGCGAAGTAATTGCCAGTGGTATACAACCATTGCAAAATATTGGTCTTCTGACCTATGTCGGAGAAGAACGTAAGATAGAATGGGCGCAGCATTGGATTACTAGAGGATTTACAGGTATTATAATGATAATAAAAAATTAGAATAATTATAATATTGTTTAGAATTGCAGATTTATGTGATAAAAGATAAATATGAAGTTTTTTCATGAAAACTTAAATAAATTTAAATAAATAAATTTTTAATAAACAAATGAAAGAAATAAATAGTTACTTCGTTTAATGTATTGCCTTTAAACGCTGGTAATATGAAGGTTACAAATATTTGCAATTATAATTATTTGAATATCAAGTTTATCCAGGAAAATATCACATAATTCCGCAATCTCTGCATATATTAAAAAGGAAACTACACGTCTTGTCGTTAATATATGAATATGTGCATAATTAAGTATTAATAATAATTTTAGCTGTGGAGAAGTTGTTATCGTCGAGCGCGGGCAAGTATTGTGTCGGCGACGAGATTACATTAGCGGATTGTTGCTTGGTACCACAGATATACAATGCACGAAAATTTCATGTTGATCTCACACCCTTTTCTACAATTCTGAAAGTAGGCCGTCATTTGGAACACCATCCGGCCTTCACTGCGACTCACCCCAACAATCAGCCCGATTGTCCGCCCGAAGCGATCAAGTAACAAGCGAGGCAGACCATCCTTTTCTTCTTCTAATTTTTTAGGAGTGAAAAGACGTGGTCCATCGTGTGGTATCATAGTGATAAAAGGTGAACATGAGTTTAATTGCATTTGTTCGCATTTCCAGTGTTTGAATTGCAACAAAAAGTTTTGTTTCTATAACGTAACTAAAATTGTAATTTAGAAGAAAATTGATATTTATTAATTAAATAATGTAGTTCAATCTTCCATTATCATGAAAAGCGATTGAATGTATTGTTAATTACACGAATGGGTCCAATCATTGAAATAATGAATATACATGAAGAAGTTAATTTTTACTTATATATTTTTAGCCGAGAAATTGCATTATCTTGATAACAGTATTTTTATACAGATTGATATAGATTCCTTTTATCATTTATAAACTGCATATTAGCATTGAAATGGTTAGCGGCGTCACGAAAGCGAATATATCGGGCAAATATATTGGTCTTGATTTGAATATCCTATTATAATACACAATGCCGCTCATTTTAGAACAAAGATCCTTAAGCCATTTCTGTAATCGTGCAAGAGCAAAGGAAAATATGTATTGGCTTATTTTTTATTTTGTTACATTTTCTATGATTTTCCATGATCAATCAAAATTTACCTTCTCGCGGTATTTTTACACTATATTTTATAAAGATATATTGATCTATACTAAATATGTTCTGTTAAAATCAAAAGTTTAATTTATATATATATATATATATATATATATATATATATATATAATAATTTTTTATATTTTATACTTGCTTATAGTATATAAAGAAAAAAGAAAAGATGTTACTATTAAATTTTACTATTGAATATCCCGAAATCTTCGCTGATATGTAGGATAGTGATTCGTGTTTATGTGATAACGAAATACATGCAGGCAAATTCAAAACTTGAAGCGATCGAATTCACAAGGGAATATGTAATAAAGGAATGTATTCTGCTCAATATCTCCTAGAATACTAACAAAAAGTACAAATCATGTATATTTTTTTGATATTCCAATTTTAGTATATGTTCGTTTTCTTTGTTTTGTTTACACTTATATTTTGTTATTATATCTTTGTTATTATATCTTTTATAATTATATCTTTGTATTGAAGTATTATAATAACTCTAAAATTTGATCAGCATTTTTTCATACTTTGAGATAATTTATATATGTAATAAAATATTATTAACTTTGTGCTGTTCAAATTATTTTTCACAAATGAGCGAGGATCAAATACAGGTAGGCATTTCGTTCTTAATCTCATTTAATCTAACAGGATCTGTCGATTAGATAAGAGTAAGAAAATTATGTTACATTATATATATTAATTAATATTTAACATTAATAAAAGAATATGTAACTTATAGATTGATCAAATATACATGTAATAAAATATTTTGAAATTAAAATTTATATATGATGATTTTTATATTCAAAAACTATGTGGAAAACTACTTTTTCAATCCGGCCGGACTATCCGGCCAAATGGTCGAATTATAAAAAACCAGCTGAATAAGCCAGATATCGAATAGTTACCGAATATTTGTTACATTTCTAATGTTATCCCAGTATTATTGATCCCAGTATTATTGATCATATGTGTTTAATATTGGTGGATAGAATACTGACGATGATTTGGATTTTGATTCTCGAGCATTAGTACCGCTTTATTAGGATCGAATCTTATCTCCTGATTCGATTTAATTTGATTCGTATTTCAATTGTTCGCACATCTCTAGTAGGAAATAAAAAATATAAGAGTAATGCGTAAAAGTTGGATGAAACCGATATGCGCGTATGCTAATACCAAGACGACGAGATAATATTACGTAAAATTAAAATTTTCGTTGTACGAGCTCGTTGGAGTGAGTAGAGCCTAGAGTAAGAAGAGCTTGTTAGAGCATTCGACGCGTACAAATCTTTTATTACTCATAGAATATTAAAAAAATAGGGAAAGCACAATTAAAATTTAGGAAAAAGACTATCATGTCTTCTCTCAGATTTTTTTTGTAGATTTTGGATTTTATGCTTGGTTCTTAAACCTAAAATTTTTAAATTCACTAAACCAATAGGGCTGTCAGTCTTAATTAATCCTATCTAAAATCTATATTCCATTGGCTGAATTTTAAAATTTTAGGATTAAGAAGAATAAACTAAGCATTATGTATACTTTGTTTTCTGTTCTTGCACTAGACTATTCTGGAACTCTCTTTCTCACTTGAAACATTAATTATTGTATTAAATGTCTATCTCACATTAAGTTCCAAAAGTGTTTACATTAGTTCAGCCACAGAAGACAGACCTCTTGTCTGACATACTCGTGTAGGAAAATTTCTCAAAAGGTTGGCAACCCTGCCCGCAACAGATTAGTTCAGAATTCAAAATTCTTCGAAAAAGAACAGACCTATTGTCTACTTGCATTACGAGTGAACACGAGAACACGAGAGCGGGGAGGACCGGTGGACGGAACAGCGGAGTGTGAAGAGTGGTGAAGAGAGTTAGAGAAAAGAAACGGCAATCTCGAAAATAAAAGGGAAGAGTTTCGCGCGTTCACCGCTATTCTAAATTACTTTTGACAGATTCGGTGGCATAATATCAGAGTTATCGATCGGATAATCAAGTCGGGCGAAAAGTGGCGAAAGGTGAGCGCTGTCCGCGAGAGGCCGATGATGTCCGCGATGGGTAAGGTGAGTATTTACGCGCGAATTAACCTTTATAGGTAGGCAGGCAAAATGCAAATAGACAAATGCCGAGAAAGAAAAATAAGATAGCATCAGAATCGGCTGTTCTGCAAATACTGTATTGGTGATCACGCATTATTTCACTGCAATATCTTGAAATGACGCACTGATAAATCTCGTTGGACAAATGCCGGTGTATGTACAATTGCCCCCGAAATCCTGAAATCCGCGATTGCGCGAAAATAAATCCTACCTGCAGTTACTCTCTATGATTGTCAAATCAACGCGCATCTTATGGTATTTCTATTTCCGCTCAAAAAGAAAGAATCCCACAGTGGCGAAATTCTTTCCTTGACTAGCGAATATATTTTATGATGTAAATATAACGTGCTGATAGGATAGAGTAATTACAGTATATAACTCGACATATGCATGCGCAGAATTATTTTCTTCAAAATTTCGGCCTGCAAGCGAATGAAATTCGTAAAAAGTGTATCAGACAGAAAAATACAAAAATTCAAAAACATTTTTGTATTATTTGCAGAATTGCAAACTTAATACTTGTGTATTTCACATTTCTTCTTATCATCAATATGCATGAACATTCTAAACTTCCTTTTTGAGATTTTCGTTATTTATAAAAATTGCATGAATAAATTTATAAGAGAAAATTATTTGATTTTACGAAAAGCGTTTCTCAAAAGTATTTTTCAAATATTCTTGGATATTGGACTGAAAATTTTGTACATATATTTTGTGCTTAAAATTTGCCAAAAAGTACCTATTTAAAAAAATTTTTTTATGTGATAAGTTCCACAAATCGCCTAGCAATTTGTCCCTTATCTAAAATACTAGAACATCTGCTAAATAGACCATCATTAACATCATATAATATCAAGATGTAATATAAACACGTTTTAATGAATGCGCATTTCAACACTCACAGTTTATTTTTGTTCATATCTATCAATGATTATACTTTTTTTTACATTTTTTTCTAGTGTGTGAATGTGGTTTTACAACTTTGATTATGTTAAAGGTTGACTTGTGTAATTAAGCTTTGCTGAATATTCATAGCTCTCTTATTTCGTTTTACAGCCGGTGCTTTATTCCTATTGGCGAAGTTCCTGCTCCTGGAGGGTAAGAATTGGTGAGTGAGAATTTATGTGGTTTTATATATATTGCACATACATAAAAACTTGTTTCAAAACTTGTCAATTGTGTCAACTTCTGTCGACTCTGAGTATCTTTTATCTTTGTTCAATATTACGTAAACAGCAAAGATAAAATGATACTGGTATTGATTTTTTCTTAATCTCAGTATTCAGAGACATAATATCTCGGCGCTAAGAGAACGCGCAGCGTTTATAGCGCGAGTAACTATGTACTGCACCATACATTAGTCATTATATTAAAAAAAATGTGATTATTCTTTTTTTAAATTTAGAAATTAGACATTTCTCACAATGTAAAGTTTATTTTTTATTTTAATTTCCAATCTATTATAATATGATACTTAATTCACACTTTAATTAAACTTTGTTATAATTAAGGTACATATTTTATTAAATATATTTTTTACTTCTCAAACTATAAAATTAAAATTAAAATAATGAAAATGATTTTATTAAAATTTATATTTTATTTAATATTTTTCTTTAATCATTCTTTTCCATTGTAACTGCATTCTTTTTTCAAATCAATATTTGTTAGCTTGAATTTGCATCTAAGATTTCATTATGCTGCTGAGCTTTTAAATGTATGTTATTTTTAGTAATAAGATAACTTCTTTATAATCCCTGTTTCCAAATGTTAAAATTACGTATTTACTGCATATTTGATATTGGTCATGCTACTGTTATCTGAAAAACCTGGAAAAGTCAGGGAATTTTAAAATTTATTTTTTGTAATTTTGGCTATATGTTGCCATTCTTGATTGCCCTTTATAAAGTATTTTTATTCAATTTAATACACTATATACAAAATAGTATATTTTGATTTCAACTTTTATTAGGATTGGTAAATTTGTCACAAAATTGGAAATCAAAAAATTATCAGGGAAATTGAAAACTAAGAGAAAGGTCAGGGGAATTTGCAAAATTTTCTAGAAAATAATTCTTAACTTTAAAGAAGTTTAATATGAGTCACATTTACGCAGTTTTCGAACTTTTGACTTAATAATTAAAAATGCAACATTAATTGTAATTTCTATTGTTATGTTAAATTGATCTTTGAACAAAATATTTAACAATTTCCAAAATCAGAACACAACATTTTTAAATATTATTGAAAGTCAGGAAAAGTCATTAAATTTTGTCACGAAAAAGTTACGAATTTTAGAATGAAGAATTTGTGACAATCTTGTTTACAAACTTGTACTTATAAAAAATAAAAGTTATGTCTTTTTTTTTTCATTTAAATTTTAAAAGCTGTATTTCGAATGAATTTATTACGGTAGGTAAAATTTTCCTGATCTAATATTTTTATGTAAGATATTTTATATAACAAAGAATTCGTAACCAGGATATAATCTTAATTTATGAATAGAATTTATAGTTGGTATTCGTGGTAGTTAGTTCTTTTATTTCAAATCATCTTAAGTGTAATCTTAATATGTTATAAATTAATTATAGAACGATATTCATATATTTAAGACCATCTTAAATACAGTTTTAAAATTCCAATTAGCACAGCAACGCCTGCAAAGCTCTAAAACGACGCTTATATACACTTTTTTTTAACGCTTTGTAAGCACTATGTGCTACGTAGGATTTTAAGAATATTTCTACATGAACCAATCAGAGAGTCGTATTAATATCTTAACGATCTTAAAATAAGAATTAACAATGAATACTGCCCACAGAGTTGTATTTGCATATTAAGATATTACTTAAGAGTTGAAATAAGTCTTGAAATAAGAATCAATTATGAATCAGCTATAATGTCATTTCATAGATAGAATTAGTTTTATTGTTACTGGAAAGTTTATTTTTTATATTTCTAATATTTATAGATTTAAATGTTTCTGATGTTCATTAATAGCATTGAATCTAAAGGAGATACCATATGATATAAAGCCTGTTAGTTTGGTGAAGAGTGGTGGAGAACAACATTCCAATGAATTCCGCGAGATTAATCCAATGGAGCAAGTCCCTGCGCTACATATTGACAATCATACTTTGATAGAGTCTGTGAGTAATTTCGGTCATGAATATTCTTCTAGTTGTTCTGAGCTTTTTTTTTTAGAATAATAACAAACAATCCTTTGTAATATAGTTGAATATCCTACAATATTTGGAAGAAACTAGGCCAAATCGTCCATTGATGCCGGCAGATCCTGTTAAAAGAGCTAGAGTGAGAGAGATTTGCGAAGTAATTGCCAGTGGTATACAACCATTGCAAAATCTTGTTGTTCTGATCTATGTCGGAGAAGAACGTAAGAAGGAATGGGCGCAGCATTGGATTACTAGAGGATTTACAGGTATGAATGATAATAAAAAATTAGAATAATTGTAATAATTGTAATATTGTGTAGGATTACAGATTTACGTGATAAAAGGCAAATATGAAGTTTTTTCACGAAAACTTTCAAATTTAAATAAATAAATTTTTAATAAAAAGTTACAAATGGAAGAAATAAATAGTTATTTTGTTTAATGTATTGCCTTTAAACGCTGGTAATATAAAGGTTACAAATATTTGCAATTATAATTATTTGAATATCAAGTTTATCCAGGAAAATATCACATAATTCCGCAATCTCTGCATATATTAAAAAGGAAACTACATGTTTTGTCATAATATGTGAATATGTGCATAATTAAATATTAATAATAATTTTAGCTGTGGAAAAGTTGTTATCGTCGAGCGCGGGCAAGTATTGTGTCGGCGACGAGATTACATTAGCGGATTGTTGCTTGGTACCACAAATATTCAACGCACGAAGATTTCACGTTGATCTCAGACCCTTCCCTACGATTCTGAGGGTAGACCGTCATTTGGAACACCATCCGGCCTTCACTGCGGCTCACCCCAACAATCAGCCCGATTGTCCACCTGAAGCGACCAAGTAGCAAGCGAGGCAGACCACCCTTTTTCTCTTCTAATTTTTTAGGGGTGAAAAGAGGTGGTCTATCGTAGTATCATAGTGATAAAAGGTGAACATGAGTTTAATTGCATTTGTTCGCATTTCCAATGTGTTTGAATTGCAACAAAATGTTTTGTTTCTATAACGTAACTAAAATTGTAATCTAGAAGGAAATTGATATTTATTAATTAAATAATATAGTCCAACCTCCTGCCATTATCATGAAAAGCGACTGATGTATTTTTAATTACACGAATGGGTCCAATCATTGGAATAATGAATATACAAGAAGTTTATTTTTACTTATATACTTTTAGCCGAGAAATTGCATTATTTTCGTAACAGTATTTGTACTCAGATTGGTATAGATTCACCTTTTATCATTTATGAACTGCATATTAGCATTGAAATGGTTAGCGGCGTCACGAAAGCGAATATATCGGGCAAATATATTGGTCTTGATTTGAATATCCTATTATAATACACAATGCCGCTCATTTTAGAACAAAGATCCTTAAGCCATTTCTGTAGTCGTGCAAGAGCAAAGGAAAATATGTATTGGCCTATTTTTCATTTTGTTACATTTTCTACGATTTTCTACGATGATCAATCAAAATTTACCTTCTCGCGGTATTTTTACACTATATTTTATAAAGATATATTGATCTATACTAAATATGTTCTGTTAAAATCAAAAGTTTAATTTTTATATATATATATATATATTATAATTTTTTATATTTTATACTTGCTTATAGTATATAAAGAAAAAAGAAAAGATGTCGCTATTAAATTTTAGTGAATATCCCGAAATCTTCGCTGGTATGTAGGATAGTGACTCGTGTTTATGTGATAACGAAGTACATGCAGGCAAATTCAAAACTTGAAGCGATCGAATTCACAGGGGAATATATAATAAAGGAATGTGCTCTGCTCAATATCTCCCAGAATACCAATAAAAAGTACAAATCATGTATATTTTTTTGATATTCCAATTTTAGAGTATATTCGATTTCTTCGTTTGTTTACACTTATATTCTGTTATTGTTTGTAATTACATCTTTGTATTGAAGTATTTTATAACTCCAAAATTTGATCGACGTTTTTTCATACTTTGAGTTAATTTATATACTGTAATAAAATTTGTATTAACTTTGTGCTGTTCAAATTATTTTTCACAAATGAGCAAGGATCAAATACATGTATTTCATTCTTAATCTCATTCTAATCGACAGATCTAACTTGTCTTAAAAAATTTTGATTATTTTGAAAATTTTATGGAGGTCTAAAAATGTAGTTCGCGCGCCGATTACAATCGCATACAGTTTTGAATGCTAAGAATTGTACGATAGATTACCGCAATGCATTATATCTAACTTGATATAAAATCGTAAAAGATTGAAGCAATAATTTTTTTATGGGTGTGCATTTTGCGGCATTTTCCCTCTTTTTTTTTTAAATTTTATGCAATTAAGGGGATCATAAAGTCGTTTTACTGATTAAACATAATTTTTGTAAAATGATATCACATATATTACTTTTACAGATTTGGAAATCTTTTTTCAGAATTGAAATATTGCATTAATAATCTGTAGCATGGAATTTATACCGAGAATAACAATTTTTGAAATTAAAATCACCACTTCTTATAATTAGTCCAATATGACATCCAAAACTATCGTGACAACATTTGCTTGATATACAAGCTCTATAATTTGTACTTACGGAATTGGAGGCTACAAACTAATATATTACACGAAGAAACAACGTCGAATTCTTGGAATTAGGACTCTGGCACTTAAATAATAAAACGTAAGCAGTAAGCGAATTGGCCATCACGGTAGAGATCGTAAATCTATAAACGTAAGCAGTAGCAAATTCAACATGTTGATTTTCTTACTGTTTACGTTTTTGCTGCTTACGTTTTCTTATGTACTATGATCCTTAGATTTAATTCTGTATGATATTGTTTTACGAAAATTTATGTATATGTTCATGAGATATTGATGTAAAGTCTATTCTAATTGTAAGTGTAAGCATAGTTGTAAGTAGTTATAAAAATTCACCAATCACACCCAAATGTTCGACCATGATTGGTCAGTTCTTACAATTACAACCACTTGCAACTACATTTATGCAATTGTATGGAATAGACTTAGTATGCAATGAAATGTTGATGACACGTAAATCGTATGTAAATCTTATTGAATCGATAAAACAGCGATAAATTTCCGTCGGAGTTTGGGATACTAAGTTAGTGAATTTTATCGATAAAATGCAATTCACACATACAATTTATACATGTGACTATATATACACATGATGATTTACAAAATCAACATTATCACTACTATTATATCAATGTCGAACGCATATATACGTAAATTACAGTGCTTGTAAAATTTTTTTTAGGGTTTCTATAGGTTTTCATCTAGGTCTGTTTTCTATAGCTAAATTAACGTATACTTTTGAAAAGTAAGATATGTTCGATATTTAGTGAAAGAATTCTAATGTAGAGTCTAATGCAGAAACAAAAAACGTAGCGATAAATCAATCATGTAGCTTTTTCTTTAGGGCGGAAACGTGAAAAAAAGTTAAATTTTTTAAAAATTCAAATTAACAGCCATCCACAGCATACATAACTCCAAAGACTTAATCAATAAATAAATAAAATGCTGAGCCATTGCTGATTGAAGAGCGTAGAAAAATAATATAATTAAATCTTTTAGTTTGGATAATGATGACGTTTATCCCTTGAAATATCATGTCTTCTTCGTAGTATGTATAAATTGACAGAGAATTTTCTTACATTAATCATAACGCAAATCTATGAATTGATGACATTCTTGAAATATAATTAAAATATTAAATATGACTTTCAAATGAAGAAAAAAAACAGAGTTAAATTCACGTTAACGGATTAAAAATTGTATGTATATGCATATATGTATTAGGGATACAACGGATAATGATTGTTGGATAACCGCATATTCTTATCAAAGCCAGATAACCGTATTTTATCCGGAAAATCGAATGAACTGGATTAGATTTTATCCGGAAATTGCACAGAGATTGAAAAATTGAAAATCTAATTGTTTTTTTTACAATAAAAAGAAAAATTTTTTATGTAAAACATTATAAATATGCTATAAAGATTTAATATTTATTTACACAGAAGATAGAAATAGATTATTGTCTGATAAGTAATTCAGAAATGCTCATATTTTTTACGAAAAATTTGAAATATTTAAAAAATAATATATAACAAAATTATAAAACATAGAATAAAGGCATAAAAAATTATTTCAATTTAACTTTTAAATTGTAATAAAATTGTAAACCTCTTTGAATCAATAGAGGATGTAAATTTTTTCTATACAATTACTGACAGAGAATCTGAATCATGAATTGAAATCGAAATCGTATACTTTTATCAGTTATATAGAATAAATTATTTTTACACTGATAGCCTATATTGGCTCTTACAGACATTTACAATTTTATTGATTTATTTCGCCAGAACTTATAATTTTTTTTATTTTTTAAAAATTATATTACATTATATGTTAATTGATATTTAACATTAATAAAAGAATATGTAACTTATAGATTGATCAAATATACATATAATAAAATATTTTGAAATTAAAATTTATGTATGATGATTTCTATATCCAAATTATGGAAAACTACTTTTTCACAATTCAGTCGGACTGCACGGCCAAACGGTCGAATTATAAAAAATCAGCTGGATAAGCCAGATATCGGACAGTTACCGAATATTTGTTGTATCCTTAATATGTGTATACATACATAAAAATGTTCATTTTTCACGTTTCCACTCTAAAGAAAAAGTTATATGATGGATCTAATTATCTTAGTTCCTCGAATTCAGTGATGTTCGTTTGTTCATGAAATCCGAAAAGTGGAACAATCTTCTTTTGTGTACAAAAGCTATAGAATTTTTATATTAAAGTTCGTATTCATAATCGTAAATCCACGATTGATGGATATATTTCAGGCAAACTAGGTTTGAACCAAAGTTTTGACTAATCGGATTTATTAAATTATGGAGAAGCGTTTTGCAAATAAGACTGATTTAAACCTAGCTTAAATTGGATCTCAAGTTTAATTGCGACTGATGAATACAATCTTATAAGCAAACGTTTCCCAATAGAAAAATATTTATAAAATTCTGTAATAAAATCTTTCATAAAATTTATTAGGGATGCAACGAATAACGTTTTGTCGGATAACCAGATATGAGATCTTATCTCGTAAAGCTAGATTTTATTCGGCAAAACCGGATAAGTCCAATTTTATTCAAAAATTGCACCGAAATTGAAAAATTAAAAATCTAATTGTTTTTTTTTTAAATAAAAAGAGAATTTTTTATATAAACCCTTACAAGTATGCTATAAAGATTTGATATTTATATAGAAGATAGAAACAAATTATTGTGTGATAATGCAGAAGTGCTCACATTTCTTATGAAAAATATAAAATATTTAAAATACTTAAAAAATAATATTTAATAAAATGTAATATACAAACAAAGAATAAAGGCATAAAAAATTATTTCAATTTAACTTCTAAATTATAATAAATTGTAAATGCCTAAAAGAGTCATAGAATATTAGTATGTAAATAATTTATTCCGTACAACAATTGATAAAAATGTAAAAAAACATTTTTTTCCTATCTTTTATAATTTCGACAATATTCATTTTAAAAGAAAAACGATTTTTTTCAAAGGTGTTTCATTCCTTAATACTGTAATTTTGCACAAACAAAAAATAGTTTCGTGTTACTATAAACTACTCTATTCGCACACAATGCTTCAGAATTTTCGAGTTTCCTAGTGAGAGTCCCTTGCGAGTTTGTCTACTTTTTGACAAGTATTATTTCGAAATTTTCTTACAAGTCAGCTGTGTTATGATAGCATCATCTTAATTAGCGCAATTATTGCGAATTTTCGTCAATTCATGATGTCATTGTTATGCAATATTTTTAAAATTTGTCTTTATTGAGATAAATGACGCGCGAGTCCAATTTCGAGATATAAAACGTTTTATGAGACATCTTTTAGATATCTTTGGATAGTTCTTGTACAAATGCTTTAAGACGTTTTATATCCCCCGACTTTGGGTTATTTTCTGGGTTACGTTTGGTTATAAATATATGAGCTAAATGTAATATCTCTCTTTTTTTTTTATTTTGTGAGATAAATCGCACTTTTTTACATTATACATACATATTTTAATTATGTAAAAAGATTTGCAATCTGTACAATCAATTCTCAAAAATGTTTAATTTGTAACCGGTAAATCTCATCAGTTTAAAATCCCCTTAATCTTCTGATCAAGCTAACAAAATACAAGTATATAGAAAATGCGAATAAAACGAACAAATCTATTGTATCGTTTTTCCATATAATGTTGTAAGATGTCTTTTTTTAAATCAATTTTTAGATTGAATAATATTTCTTCCAAAATAAGTAGATGCCGAAAGATAGATGTGCACCTTTTTTAAAATGAAAAACAGACTTGTTGTATAACTGTAGTTAGATAATATGTAATTTATGTTGTGCAGAACTGAAATTATTTCGTCGCTGCAAAGACTTTAGAATGTGCCATTGAAATACCGTTTTATATAGTACAACTGCGCACGATTTCAAAGGCAAACCTGAAACGCGTGTCCGCACAAAAAGTATATATTTATGCTCTTACAAATATAGTTTTCCAGTTTGAGCATAAACAGAAATACCGATATTTTTCATGATTCTTTAAGATCACTTATTGTAAAGCTATTGTTATACATAGTTCCCATATGTGCTTCGGAACATTTTTATATGCGAACTTACGTTCATCAAAACTCCAGTCAAATCAATGTAGATATCGACTGATTCGAAACCATCGATCAAGTTTCACTCAATATTCATCTTTATTGCTATGTTATCTTTTTCGTCTTTATTTTATAAATAGCACGATCGCGATTGCATTTACGTACTTACGTCGGAATTTCATGTACGATATCTCAAGGACTTCTCATATTATATCACGCACGTTGTGAACTGCCTTTTCGAGATTTCGACGAGTACTTCTTCCACGTAGCCTCCAGTCTTCATTATTATTTTTCTATAGTATCTTATAACGAAGATACAACAACTTCGTGCACTTTCCGACGGAGGGTTTAAAGAATTAAATATACAAGATCGTCGCAAACTTGAAATCGTCATCCTATATGTATAATATACTTTAGGACGGATGATTCCATTCCGTACATTCATATATAGGCACGTATTATAATCGACCGAGTGATTACATAATTAATTTTTATACGAAGCAACTTTCTCTCATCTTTTCATTCCACGATACCAAGGAGCGTACTTTCGCAATCCAATTAAAAGCGAAAACAATGTGTTACTTCATTTTGATAATGTAGACTGTGATTCGATTTGTTAAAATATGAGGGAATCAAATCTGTGTTGATTTTGAGCATATTTAACGAAAAAATCTCTCGAATATGATCTTGTGTTCCCTTCATATCGTAGTTAATTTCATCTCGTATTTTTTTTGCCCGATTTACAGGATTTGTACAAGTGACAAACAGTCATGTAAAAGCGAAAGTTTGACTTTATCGGAAACGAATTGTGTTATTGTAGTTATTGGTAGCTTTTATATAATATATGATATCTAACTCCGGAATGTTATGATTCTGAAAGATGCAGTTGACTTATAAGTAAACGCCGAATGAAATTTTATCATCTAATTACAGTCTTGAGGCTGCCTTCATTCACGAGAAAATAATTATAGTTTATCTATTAAGGTATTATTTAGTTTGCAAGAATTTTTGTCTTCGATTTAGATAAGGAAACTGCTCGTGATATTTTAATGTTAGCGACAAATCGTATTAAGCCCTACAATTGTGTAAATGTAAACGTAAGTGATTGCGAAACGTTGTAAAATGCAGTTTTAACTTGCTATTACCGATTATAAAACGCGTGGTTCAACTTATTTTTCAAGACTTACAACATCTTTACTCGATTATAGATAGTATTTTATAACATTTACTGCTACTATTACTCCCATAACTTAGCTTACGTCTACGCAATTGTAGTTCGAGTACATTTCTATGCGAGGAGGACAGTCAATCTACTTTCACGTTTTCTCATTTCCATGTTCTCGCTTCATAGGTTTTTAAAAGTGATCCTACACGGTCAATAGTACTGACAGTATTATTGATCCTATGTGTTTAATATTGGTGGATAGAAGGTTGTAAAAATATTAAAAATATTGATGCATACTGTCAGTATTACTGATTCAATATTACTAATCCGTATTATTGATCGTGTAAGGTCACTTTAAAATAGAGTCTTTATTTGTATATTTTTCTTTCGCAGTGAGATTTTTGGAGTTCGATGATTATTTGATTTTTGTCCCTAATTATAGGTATAAGATCGCTTCTATTGATTCTCTGTAAGTCCATAGAGACTCTTTACTATATATAGATTTTCTTACTGTCTCATTTCAAATCAGCTGGTGTGTCATCAACGCGCGTGATACACGCGAGAGATATAAAAGTTACACTTTAAGTAGGGAGTAGAGATGTGCGAATCAAAGTTTTTGCCGAATTGAATCAAATCAAGTTTCTTTAATTTTAAATCCGAATCAAGATTTCAATCGAATCAAATCGAATTAGAACACTTCTAACCTTCTGTCTGCAATCTGGATTTTTTGATAAACAAAATTTCAATCTCAAATTTTTACAAAAAAGGGAGTCCGCAGTTTCTCCCTCTAAAATATCTTCTTAAGAATCTATTTGGTAATGTAATAGAGATGAAAAGTATCCCAGAATTTTTTCACATTTTTTTGAAAACCTATAATAAAACAGAGTAAAAATAGCAGATTGCAGACGGAGGATTAGTTAATAACGTAATTAAGTTAAATTTTAATGTATAGATAGCAAAAGAAAAAATTTTTGAATGTTATAAGAAAAAAATATTGATGAAATCATATAAATTCATTAAGTAAATATACATATATTTAAATATTAAATATAAAACTGATAAAATATACTTACTTATTTATTGTTAATGTCACACTGAAACAGTTAAGTGAAAAATCATAAATCAATTATTAAGAGCTTTTGTGTGCGTGCGTGCCTGTCTGTCTGTCTGTCTGTCTGCCAATTTGGATTTGCGAATTATAAAGATTTAAATCTGAATCGAATCTTACCTGATTCCATTCAATTTGATTCCTATTTGAATTGTTCGCACATCTCTAATAGGAAATATAAGAATAATGAGTAAAAGTTGAGTGAAACCGATATGTGCGTATGCTAATACCAAGTCCGACGAGATAATATTATGTAAAATTAAAATTTCCGTTATGATTATCTTAAATAGAATAAATGGCGCGTGACGTTTTCATGAAAGGATTAGCATGAAATCGTTATGACGATTGCATGAACGGGAGAGTTCTATTATATAGTGACACGTCAATCTTGTGAGACAGTATGGGACGCGTAGATATTTTGTAAGCAAGATAGAAAGAAAGAAAGATCACGCTATGTATGTTCACGCTGCTTATAGCGAATAAAAAATTTTGTGTCGATAGTATATGTATAAGTACTTTCATAGTAGAGATGCAAACGAGAAAAAAAGATCAAAACAATAAGTGCACTCATAATTGTACACTTAATTACTTGAATAAAGAGTTTTGCCTGTAGTGGCGGATTTTTTTATTGCAAGTAAGATTTGTATTAACAAGAAATTTACTTGCAAATATACAAATGATTAATGATTACCCCTTATGCGAGTTTCTTCTATCTAACAAAATTGCGTGATTTTTGCGCTTCTGCGAGCATATTTTTGTAGGATCTACACACTGTCTTTATTGTTTTCAAATTATTCTCTTAAATTTCTAAGGATTAAAAAATGACCCTTTTTTATATGAGGTCTGGATACCTTGCGTATAATAACAAAACTTAATTGAGATTCCTGAGTAGTTGCCGTGGCTATACTGAATTGTGACATTTTAAGAGAAATGACACCCATTAATTTTTTACATGCCGTTTGTAAATAAAGACGCAATTTAAATAAAACGAAATGATAAGATTGCTTTAATATTTGTAAAAATGGATTAAAGCTATCCTTCCTCCCCCCTGACAGTCAATAAATAATCGTAAAAGGCATATGAAGATTAAAATAGGTTACACATGTGCATTGAGTAAACACGTGTCTTTTATCATCTTTTACGATTTTACTGATTGCCAGAGAGGATAAGAATAGCTTCGTCTCATTCAAAGCGATCTCATCATTTCGATTTATTCATTGTCTTTATTTATAAATAGTATGTAACAAAAAGTAATCATTCATATCATTTTTCTTTTATGACGTCACGATTCAATATGGCAGTGGCGATTTGAATATTTTAATACAATATATCATTTTTTATTTTAAGACTCCTGACATATAAAATTCTGATATATAAAATAAAAAATATTTAATATCCTGATATATAAAATTAAAAATAATTTATAAAACTTTTGGAACTGGTGTCAGTATGTACACAAGTATCCTAAAATATATAAAAGAATATTCTAATTTTTTACATGATTCAATAAAATTTATGCGGGTGTCCGAACTTCCGTGAGCGGCTGTGTATATAATGGATTGGGGAAAAGTCTTTTTAGAAGTTATCTCGGTTTTTTATTGAGCACAGAATTCTACACCGATAGAATTTTCTATCCAAAAAATGGCAAAAGATCATTGATCAAACAGCATATATTTTAATAAAAGCATATATTTTGGCATATATTTTGTAAACAATTTAAAAAATATGTTTCAATTATATTATAATTATGTAAAAGGACTAAGTAAGGTAAAATTTCTTCCTCAACCCAATATTGTATTATATATATTGGAGAATTAATAATTAACATGATGTATTTTACTTCTTCTGACTATACGTAATAAAATGTGAGTAATAAATGTGAGCATGACACTTTCACATTTGTTAATGCACATGATATAAAAATATATATTCTAAGATATAATATAAAAGTTTACAAAATTATTTACTTTGATTAGTAAGAATGTAACAAATATTGTCTCATATCAAGATACCTATTGTTGCTTCTTCTTCAAATATTCAATATAAAGTTTAAGGCCATTTTGTACTTTCGGTGATTGTACATAGTTTATGAAGTTATCAGTATCAGCTTTCTTATTGTTTTTCAACCACTCGATCAAATCGTTTCGCAAATGTACCTTGGTGGTGGTTCTTGCTAAACCTTTATTTCAATAAATATATGATTAAAAACAATATATGATTAATAACGCAGACAAAAGAAATTTTTGATCCGGAGAAAATTAAATCATATTTTTATGTATGTTAATGTTCTAAAACCGAATTCGGTATCCAAATTGCTCTATCATGTTATAAAAATAACTCGATTTTCAGTATTTTCAACTTATCGCTTGCATATTAAAAATCAAGCCATAAATGGCTCTAATAAAAATAAATGAAAGATTGAGCTATTTTCAGTTGATAAAACAAATTGTGACATGATGGAAACATTTCAACATTGAATTCGGTTACAGAGCGTCAAAATACCTAAGAATATCATTAATCTCCGAATCAAACATTAAATTTTGTTTTGTACGCCTGTATAATATATACAATGCCTATTAAACAAAATGCTACAGTCCAGTATTTTTACCTGGTACATTATCATAAGATAATATGTATTTTTTGCACTTTTCGATCGCATCCATTTTATCTTTAGCGAGCTCATCCACGAGTCCAAGCTGCAATGCCTTCTCAGGCTTAAACATCACTCCTCTAAAATATAATAATTATATTATGTAAAATCTCGTCATGTATCTCTCATTTTTTAAGTATATTATACATTTATATATACGTATTTATTCAATATCTTACATTTACCTTAAAAGCGCCAGCTCAGCTTGTCGATGGCCAATTAACGAGATATATACATCCCTGAACCATTTTGGAGCAATTATACCCAATTGTGTTTCGTTTAAGCCTATAGTATGCTTGCCTTCAACCAAGACTCTATATTCCGTAGACATTGCCAACAGACAGCCTCCGGCAGGACTAGAGCCCTTCGTAGAAAGGAATATTATATTAAATGTTGCAGAGATATGCTAGTAAAGTAATTCAAGTAATACTTGAAAGACTGTACATTGATAGCAGCAGCAATCGGTATAGTCAAACTGTAAAGAGTCAGCCAAGTGTCTTGTAATGTTTGCCAGAAATCAGTAAGTTTCTCTTTATCATTAAACAATTCCATAATGTCTAATCCTGCCGAGAATATAGTTGGCAAGGATGACGTTAATATAACGCCTTTAATGCGACTGTTTTGGGCCTCCAATAAAAATGTCTTTAGTTCACTTAATAACTCTGTATTCAAGCTGTTAACAGGTTTTCTTGCCATAGATATAATTTCGATACCTAGTCAATAAAATAAAGTTTGAAAGGAAAAACCGTGTACTAAGCATCGATGGAAATAGCAGTATTACCTGTATTATTGTCTTGTGTAATTTCAATAAATTTTGGACTTGTAGCATAAAATCTTTTGAGGCATATTTGTCCTCCAGCGATTAGAGTCTTTAAAATAGTCATTATGATTAACAATCTTGTTCTTCTTTGGAGTAATCGAGTAATGAGTGCGGTTGATGAATTCTGTAATAAATAAAAAGTAATTAGAGGCGTGCTCCGATTTCCATCTGGATGCTCTCCGGGTGTCATGTCATCCTTGTTTAACGTTTGTTGACACCCGGAGAACACCCAGTGAGAATCCGAAATATGCTCCGGTATAGTTAGATAACTCTGATATTGTGTATGATAAAGTTATGCTCATTCGACACATTTTTGCATTTAACGAAATAATCAAATTTGGCAGAAAAAGCAAGGGAAAGCTTAAATTATCTCACGAATTAATTATTGTTAAAATTGATTGTGTTCAAAGTCAGCGAAGATAATTTCTAATAGTTGCAAAAAGGTTTGTTCGCATCGCATACTCTAAGGCTTTATTTACAGAGTTTTTAATACCCATATTAACCAGTAACTTTCTATTAAATTATCTTAATTTCGACAATGTTTAATTTAAAGATTGATGTATTAAATTGATATAATATGCATCAACATAATCAATTAAATAGATCAATTAAATAGATTATGTATAATATGTTTACTTGTATCGCCGAAATTAAGATAATTTAATTATTAGTTAACATCCACATCAAATGCATGATGTAAACTAGGTCATATGCTCTTATCAAAAAGAAACTTGAGAAAGAATACGCGGACTTTTCTTGTAACAGCAAAGTATTCCCCTCGAGCACTGCCCTCTGAAGAAGTGGATGTAAACTATACAACAATATCCATTCTTTTACGATGTTCCTGATGGAAATAAATTGCTAAAATAACTAAAATCTATCAAATTAATAAAGATTCAGGTTTCTTTCTGTCTGTATTTATAGTCAGATCCCTATTTAAAATCGCCTAGTTAGTCTTAAGTACAGTCTTAAGATGTTATAAACCAATCAGAAAGCTGTATTAACATCTTTGGACATTACTTAAAGTGGTCTCAAAATTTATTTATCGTCGTACATTTCGCTCTTTGCTGTGTGGCATCTCTGGCACTTGTTCAATTCTATATTACTTGCGTGGTTCTTTTAAACGTAATTAATATAATTATTCGCGTGGAATATTTTTGATATTCCAATGTCTCAATTTTAGATAATATAGTAGATAATATAATATTTAGAATAGAGAAAAGTCGCCAATACCTACATACCATTTTGTTTTTCGATAATATTTCTTAAACAAAAGGTAAAAATAAAACTTTAAATACATAAATACAAACTGAAAATTGTCTTTTATCAGATAATATAATCAGTTTTTATAATACAATTTGTAATTTTGCAATAATTCATCTTTTTCATAAGATAAGTAAAAATGAGAGTCTGACAAAATGGTCTGTAATTCGTTATGCAATCTTTATGAACACATAGACCGGTATTCATAGTCCGTTTCTTAATAATTCTATAAAATAAAGACGTAATACATACTATACGTTGAATTTAGCACTGTAGTCCGATTTTCCGCACACTTTATTCGAAGGATATCCTGGGAATAAATTCTAGAAAGTAAAGAATGTCTTTAGAACATATTTTAAAGGTCTGCTCTGCATGAGTTTTACATAATATATTCTTAAATAAAGATTGAAAAAATTTTTAAATTCTTGTTATTTAAATTAATTTTTTTCGCTTTTGAAGCATAATTATCAGACTATACAAGATAATTTGATATTCTTATATGTATAAGGTTTTTGGATTACATACATAAGTAATCATTTTTTAACAAATTGTTTTTATTTATCTTTTTAACAAATTATCCGTATACTCTAAACAACTGCGATTGTTTCGAAAACGCGAATTCGCCCCTCTCACTTAAGGTTCCTCCAGACGATATGGACAATGTATATCAGATTGTCAAATATTCACACATACAGACACACACATGCATAATTCTCCATGAATATAGACCAATTTAACGAATGTGTGCAAAGTTGGCTTATGTTGAACAAATCGTCTGGAAGCATCTTTATAATAAACTCGTTTTAACACTAAATTTGTTCGTGTTGCTTGCACACACAACTTTTTGCATTCAAAATCTTTAGTTTCTCTCTCCAATATCTGAATGTATAATACATATATTTATCTCATTTTAAGTGCAAAAATTTTTGAACATTTCTTAAAAAAGCAACGTGAATAAATCTGGTGCTATATACATAATTACACTTTGAATACGTTTCTTTATGATTTCTATTTCTGTTTTGGTATATTATGAATGCTTTCAAATGATTACAACTTTATTAAAAACCAAATAAACTGAAGTTGAAGATCTTAGTCTAGAAATTCAAAAATTGCTGATTCAATCAGTACATGTGGATATTATAACGAGGTGATGCCACATTTCCTTGCTGATAGTAAAATGGAAATTTTCTCGCTTAGTAGATTGTGTCTTGCAGCAAGTTCACAAAATTATTTAGAAAGTTATTTTTCAGGTAGAGGAATTTTTGAATCGTATATATTTTGACGAATAGCGAAAGTTGAAACGCACTCAGAAAAACTTTTACGAAGAACTGCATAGAATTCTTAATTTTTCGGAGATATTCGTAGTGTGGGATGTAGAGTGACATTGTTTGAGGGCAGAAGATTTCTAGGTTCTTCAATCTTCAAATAACGCCGCTCTATGTCCCACTACGAAAAACTAATAATTTCTAAGATCTTGTCTCAATCTATGTAATTTTTCTGTATTTCTTCGTAAAAATTTGTATTTCGTCAGGGACACATTTTTCGAAATTCTCGATCAAATCCTTCTTTTTTTGAAATCATTGAAGTTATTAGAACACGTTCCAATAAGAGATTTATTCGAGCCTAGATGACGAAAATCGAAGTACCGGTCAACTTTCTCGAAAATCAAAATCAATTTTTGGAAAGCGGGAAAGAAGGCGAAACGAATATCAAAATAGAATCATTTATTGCAATTTTACTAGCTTTCGATATAAAGATCTAGAGTACAAGATAGTTGCCCGTATGATATATTATAGGCGTGTGTAGCCAAGACACAAATTTTCAATGAAAAGGTACTCTAATGCATCACAGTTTTTCGCGACATATGCAGTCTGCAGTTATGTCATCTCCGTTGTCGCACACGCGCGTACATGTACATATACATGACATATATGTACCGATAATCTCGATCCAAAGCAACTCGCCGGTTTGCATAAAGGAACACGGCAGTGTCTTACGCAATGTCTTAGCGAGACACTACCGTGATACATGACATACATATGCATACGTGATCCCCAATTTTAATTATTGATACAGTGCTCGTATGCAGGCAGAGCGGATCAAACTGACTCGAAAAGTCTTACTGGTTTGCAATTTTCACAGTAGTTAAAATTATTAGCAATCGCTAATTCTCTTGTATACTACTTTAATTTTAAATACATTTTTCTGTGCTGTTAGAAGATTTCGTTTCAATAAAAAAGACGGTGGACAATCAGTTCAGAGTGAATTCAGGACCATTTTTAGTATGATTTCTTGTTAACTGTTACGAAAAATGCAAAATAGCATAGAACTTTTCGACTTAGTTTATTCCGTTCTATCTGCATACGAGCGCTGTATCAATAATTATGGGATACCCTGTATATTCATTCGGATTAATCATATATGATCATTAATATGTACGAATACTTTAAAGATATCGCGTATAGCAAAGTGCTTAGGTCAGCCAACGACATGTAAAGAATTCGAGAAGCGTAATTTGTTCACCACTCTGATACTAGCGCGACGAAGTTTGATGGCAGTGGAAAAAAACGGCTCATAGATCTGCAAATAATATGACATCTCAGAGATATAACAGTCGAATATTCTCTCTTTTGTATCATTGTACACACTGCAACTACAATAGCGTCACTTTATTATTTTTTTTTTCTAGATGTACAGAGATGGTCGCTGCCTAGAACTTAAACAGTCATACGAATTTTGATTCTGATAAGATAAATAAAGAAACCCGAAGAAATGTCTTAGACTTATAATTAGAAAAGGCTCTTTTTGCGAATGCTAATTGAACGTCTTTTAGAGTTTTACGTTAAGCGGGAACTATTGCTTTAAAAAGGCTCGACTTTAATTAACAATTGACTTTCAAGTGCGCTTTTGAGCTATATATTCAAATATTCGAAAATATTAATATGTAAAACATATATGTTGGTCAAATTCTAGACAGCCCCCTCGAGTCTCTTCAATTAAAAGAAAGTTAATGTACAACTGCCTTGAAAGCATTAAAACAGAATGTAATGATGGATTATGTGCTATGTATCAGTGCATTTGTTTCACTTCTAACAATTGCGGATAATTTTCCACGATGTTCAATAATATTCCATCAATGTATGTTCTTAATTGCGTGTTCACTTCTTGCTGCTCCTTTAAGGCTTGTTTTAACTGTAACACAAATATAAAAATTAATTATGCCGTTCTCAAAGCAAAATTTCGAATTAAGCTTTAATACGTACTTCAGCCATCGTACACGGTTCATTGAGCTCTCCTTTGCCATCTATCTGTAAGGCGATGAGAAGAAGTTGATGTTAATATCAATTGTTAATATCCATTCGTTATAGTTAATAGATTCGATACATCTTAAGAAAATACCTGATCTGGATTCATGCCGGCTAACAATTCTACAGCAAGACTAGGACCCTTTTCAGCGTTATTATTACAAGGATTCAGCATTATAAGTTCACGACCTGCCTGCAACGCCGCAGCAGCTTGCAATTCGTCTCGAGATTCTTCCAAGCCTACAAATCGATGAATAATATATTATAGTAATATTATTATATAGAACGAAATTTATCTTAACAAATCAATTTAGATACACTGCTTTAGAAATGCTTAAGAAGCGAATGACTTCCGAAAGCTCACGATATGCAATTAATACGATATCCAATTAATAATTCCGTAGTGCAACAATGAACATACTTTTATTGCGAGCTTGAAGTTGAACCACCTGCTGCACCAGTTCTTCAAGCCTCTGCTGATCCTCGTTCCGTAACGAAAGTTCTTCTTCTCTCATAACATCGAGCATATGATGAGCCTCGTTAGCTCGGCTTATCGCATGACGTTCACTTTCGCGCGCGGCGTCCGCTTCCCTTCTGGCCTCCCGGAGATCATTCTCAAGCTGCGCTTTATCCGTTCTCGCTGTCTCGAGCTGTTCGCGTATTCGCGCAATCTCCTCCCGCAAACTGGTATTGTCCAGCTCCGCTGCTTGCAGCTTAATGTCACAGTTTTCCAATTGCAACTGACGTTCACGTTCCAAGCGACACGCCCATTCCCGATGTCTTCGTTGCTCGGCCTGTGAAATACGGAGAAATTTTTTTTTTAATAAAGTATAATCACTTTTTGCGATTAAAAAAGCCTATAACTTCATCTTATCTATAGTATAGATTCTATACTATAGAGAATCCTCGAAGAGCATAGGAACAAAAATTATGCTCTTCAATTGTTTTCGATATCGAATTCAAAATGCAAAATATCTTATAAAAAAATGAAAGAAATGATTTTATTGTATAGTTATATACGTGTTACGTATATAATGCATATGAAAATATATAATGTACGTATTTAAAATGTATATACATTTACAATGAACTTTAAAAATTATTAATTTTCCTTTTTTTATACTAGATTATGTTTAACCGATCTATATCGAGTTACTTACTTGAAGCCTCTCTTCGGCTCTCGTTTCTGCATCTTTGGCTGCTTCCTCGAGCATCAATATTCGCGCCTGTAATGTTGCATTTTCTTGTTTCGCTCGAGCGTACCTTTCCTCACCGACCGACTTAGTATCCGCTAAAGCATCCATTTGCTCTTGGATCATTTGAACCTGTGGCATTTAAAAGGAGTTTAAGGTTTCATACGAAACACATCGCCTTCATATTTCATTTCATACACTTTCTAGAGTGAGTCGTTCCTAATCGTGATATAAAGTAATCTTAATGATGTTAAACACGTTTTCATCGACTTTTTTTACATCCAAAAAACAAAACTCTATTACGCAGAAAATTTTACGAGGATATTACAAGTTTATATTTTATAAATTTTGTTACCATTTAGATTTTAGATAGGTTTTAGATAAGTTTCAGAGATTTTCGTTTAAAAAATCATTTGAAAGAGAATTTTTAAGGGATATTGCTATGTCCTACGCCACAAGAGATTTAAGAAAAGTGAAAAGATGTAAGAATTTTCTAGAGGTGAATTAAAAATAGAATTTATAAAATAGTCCTTTCTTAATGGATCCTTTTTTAAGAATATATAAAAGTAAACTTATGTCTACAAGATTTTTCGCTATTCGTATAAGAAACTGGAAAGTCTATCTTATATAGGCATTTTAGAACATAGGAAACAACTATAAGAACGAAATCTAATTGTAAGTATATAATTTATAAAAATATTAGGTGTTGGAATTAATTCGTAGCGTTTTACAAGTGATGGGAAGTACTTTCATTAATGTATTTTTTAATGCTCATGTGAAATAAATAACATTCTTTCATTAAAAAACGCTACGAATTAATTCCAACACCTAATAATAATACCTTAGATAAAAATTAACGAATAAAAACATACATTTATTATCTATTGGGTCATTTAAAAAGTATCCGCGGTACTTTGTTACTAGATATATGACCATCAACACATCTAGTGACAAAAAACCGCGGATACTTTTTAGATGACCCAATATTTTACTTGATTGGAAGCATGGCAATAGAGAGCTAGAATACTAATACTTTGGTAAAAGTATAGAAAAGAAGAGCAATCGCCGATAACTGACATTTAATGCCAAAATGTTCTCCAAGCAACGTACTTTCGAAGTATAAACAAATCTGATTTTTTTGTCAAGTGTAACATATGAAAAACAAATAGTTTAATCTGTGCGCTCCGCGTCGCGCTTCAAGTTTCTTTTTTCTACAAAATTATTTGTTCATATGTATTTGGTGCCAATACAGACTTCTATAACTAGACTGCTGACTCAATGATAGAAAGAGATGAATCTGATTTCGAGCTGTCCTTGTTTCAGTTCATATGTATATGTATGCACCCTGTCTATGAATATCGCGTGAATTTATATGAAAACACTAACGTTATTATCCATGTGATTTATATATGTGAGAGTGAGTAAACATAAACATGACGCTGTCTTCAAACATGGAGGCAAAGTTGGCAGTATATTTATAGAAGTCTGTGGTGCCAAAATGATTTCGAGACATTATACTATTGAAACATACTAAACCACGATTTTTTTGCTAATACTAAAATGTGAGAAATGAAAAATTTCTTCCAGCCAATCACAGCGCTGCATAATCATAAACGCTTCTAACGCGGCGGACAGATATATAGGCGCGCGACGATATTGTTATTGAGAAACATTTGATTCCTATTTACATCGATCATACGATCTGTTAACGCAATGTCTGGATGTACTTGGAACGCAAATGAAAGTTTAACTCGACATCTTGAGAGCCAAAGCATCTCAATTGCAATGTAAAAATACTCAAAATTACTGCTTCTATTGCCACTGGCATTTTCAACAAAGGATATTCTGTCTATTTTAAAAATCATTAATGAATTGGAAATTAATATTAGTCCGGAATGAGGAAGTTGAAGCACTACTGTGTGCCCCTGGAATAGTAGATTTCGAACATTGAAAATATTCAAGAACTACATTGAAAACTTTAAACGTTTATCCCAAAATCTGTCTTTTAAATTTTCTTTAATTTTGTATATACGATTTAAAAAAAAATTATTTGGCCAATCAACTTCTTATAAAACTTTTTAGATAATGATCAACCTTCCTCAATGAATCTAAAAAATTATTTTAAAAACCAATATTAACAGTTTTTTTTTTGCATAAAGAAATGGACGCTGTCTAATGAAAATCGTAATTTTTTTTTCAAAGTCGCACAAAATTTTAATTTATATATATATATATATATTAGGTGTTGGAATTAACGTAGCGTTTTTTAATGAAAGAATGTTATTTATTTCACATGAGCATTAAAAAATACATTAATGAAAGTACTTCCCATCACTTGTAAAACGCTACGAATTAATTCCAACACCTAATATATATGTATATATATTTTTAATTTTAAAGGTTTATTTGGAACAAAATAACATGAAAATTATAAATATTTTCTTCGTTTTTGTTTCAAGAATTAAAGTACCGAGGATACACAAAATTAAATGTTTATATATTTATCCTGAATAACTTTTTTCTTTACACAAAAAATTAAATGTATAATAGTTGTATTAAAATGTAAAAAAAATTTTAAATAGGCATTAGTCTTCCTGTTTAAAAATTACGAAAGATCATTCTTCTTCGGTCTCCTAAAATTCCCCCCTTAAAAAAAGCAATAGAAAATACTAATAACTTCGATTAACCAAGTATGGAAAAATGATACGCTGAAAATTAAAAATCCAATGATGTCATTCACTGAGAAGACTACAAAGAGCTACCGATCGAATATGAACGGATCGATTAATTGACACACTAAGGACGGTATTTATAATCAATTCTTATATCAAGTCTTAAGACGCTAATACAGGTTTCTGATTGATTCGCGACTTCTTAAGACGGTCTTGAATATAAGATCTGACGAATATCGGCTTAAGAATCCACGAATAGTACCTTCGTAGGTGCGGAATTATTTGGAGAAAGTATATTGAAGGAAAGTTGGAAACGCATACTCCCTTTAGGAGCATGCCCACGCTGTCGCGATTATCAATGCTGCGGCTATCAATGGAGACGACGGACTACTTACAGTCTTCTTGTCTCTTTTTATTGGAACAGCCTGTCACAGAAGCCTGTCACAGAAGCGAAGAAAGTATATGATAAAATCTTGCCTTCAGGCCTCGTATCCCTATTATATTATGTTGCGCGCATGTAACAACGACTATGCACGATTAGAAATACTCGCTATCTTAGATCATCAGAAAATATCGCAAGCGATAACAATAATCAACTGATATCCCTTTGAAGATGAGTTTTATATAATCGAACGATATACATAAAACGATATCGCATAAAAATCTCATTTACTATTGTCATTTTCCATGTCTTTTCGACGTATCCGAGTGAGCACGCAAAGTGAAATGTCGTTTATGCGCGAAATGCAAATATAAAATCTCGAACAGATAAACGTGCCGGTAACAAGGACGCACGAGAATAGCCTCCGCGTTTATTCGCGGGATACATACGCACGTACGCAATGACAGTCTATAACACGCAATAAAGCGTGCGCGCTCTCGCTCTACGTCCGCGGTAGGTCGAACCGAATTCAAAGATTCGAAGAAGCGAATTCGCGGTGAATTCAAAATCTCGACGATCGTTTGATGCTTCCTGCCGGGCGGGCCAGGGCCAGAGATTATCATTCTCCTCTTACTTGCTCGCCAAGCCGGTGCCCACGGCGACGAGGTGGATGTCGATCGTTGCGTGGCGGCGACGGCGACGATGGCGACGGCGATTGCTGTCCTAGGAATTGGAACTGGCCTTCCCACAGGTCATACTCGAGGCCAGCGCCAGGGCCGGAAGACGGCCCCTCCCCGGAAAAAGACACGTGGTCGTCGCGGTCGACCGTCTTCTCGCAAAAGTTCAGCTCCATCGCGGCGCGACGCGTCGCGTTCTTGTAGGCCCGGTCGTTCGTGTTTATCGCGTCACGTCATCGCCTGTATTGCGAGCGCACTCGTCATTCCCGCGCGTGCTCCTCCGTCTTCGTCGTCGTCGTCGTCGTCGCCCTCGTCGGCGTCACCGTCACCGTCGCCCGCGTCCTCACGACGTGCGATCGTGCCGCACTAACATGCATTGAGAATGCACTCCGGACTTCCTTCCGTGCGAAGTCACACGCACTTCTACCGCGTCTTAGGCAACTTTACGTGCCAGGAATATATTCCGAGTCCCCTGTTCGCTCACATGTTTCTCTTTCATTCTGCCATTCTCTCTCTCTCTCTCTCTCTCTCTCTCTCTCTCTCTCGCTCGCTCTCCCTCCGTCTGTCTGTCGCTCGCTCACTCGCTCGCTCGTTGCTTCTATCTACTGATCGCCTACTTCGAGCCAGGAGTCTAAAGTAATCACCATTGAGTCCATTTGCGTTTCATACCACGTGCCGATTAACTCTACACTCGACAGTAGCACGAGTTACGCCGAACGCACCCTAGTGTTCGACGTCGCGTTTTTTCTCTATACTCGTGACACTCGTCAAGAAAGTATTGCCAATGTCTCTAACGGAACGAAAATCGATATGATTCCCATTATGTTCCAACGTTGCGGAGGCGCGAAAATATTCATTCGTAACGTCGATAATCATCAAACGGTTCACTCTTCCATAGATATAAACCGTGTTCTCTGATATACACTGCCAGTACTGAAAAGTGAAAATCTATAATATACATACATACATACACACACACACACAAACACACATTACGTATCATATTATAAATTTTCAGTGTATTGGTAATTGGTATATATCGGAACACGGTCAATAACTCGTAGAAGTTACGCTGAGTTTTAAATTTATAGGCAACGCAATTTAAAGCGTACTTTTTTAAGCGGTGAACATTTTTCTTATGATAAATTCGATCACTCGCATTACACTGAATCAGTGCATATTAAAAGCTGCTTTATATAAAATATCTCGATGCAGTGATACAATATAATCAACGAACTGCGCAGTTGCCGTGGCCATATTGAATCCCCAGGTAGCAAGCTACGTCATTTTGACATCAAATGACGTCATTTGACGTCAGCTTGCTACCAAGATCGTGACGTCACAAGCGAGAAATAATACGTTAAGGAATCATTTATATTGGCCGTAACTGTATAATCTGTA